AACCTTAATGATTCTATGATTCTATTAGGTAGGGTAGGTGCTGAAGATTATGCTGGCTACCTTCAGGAAATTAATCAGGGAAGGAATTCTGTATTAGGTCAGAATGATATCCTGCTTCCTACTACTGCCCCTCCTGCTGGAGGCACACAGGGTTTTAACAGGGTAGGCCTCTGGTATTCATCTGTTTACTGGATGAATACTTGTCTTCCAGATTCTTGAGGGCTTTCCTCAAGTGCTGACACACTGCTTGGCACTACTGAGCTGCTCTGATCTTTCAGCTAATAGCTGAGGTTCCCAAGTGTAGTTTGCTTAGGTACCACTGTTACAGAAAGAGAGCTGCAACCAGCCATAAGCATGTATGGCTCAAAGCCATCCCACAGCTCTTTTCTTGCAGAGGAGCAATGGCAGGGGCATCTCAAGCTCTGTGCTAAACAGTGTGTGAGTGTAAAAAGATTCTGACTCTGTCTCCCCTGAAGAAGCAGTAGGCTGGGTTATTACTTTTGCGGACTCCTTTGAAGTGTTTTGTCTTATAAAACGAACACTTCCCCCTGTTTTTGACATACCTGGTTGTAGGAGGTTAGTGAATGTTTTTGTTCTGTTTTATGTGGTTACACCTCATCTTCTTTCCTGCACAGCAAATGTACATCGCATATGTGAAGAATTCCAGATTCACCTCTCCCAATGTCCTGCCCATGATCAACTTCATGCAGCGCACGCTGACAGAGATGTACGCCCTGGACACGCATACCTCTTACCAGCACGCCTTCATCTATATCCGTCAGCTTGCCATTCACTTGCGCAGTGCAATGACCGTAAAGAAGAAGGTAGGTACCCGTCGGTGTGGAAGGAGTGTACCCTCCTGTGGAGAGGGGAAAATTACAGTAGCCCCTGCAGGCTTTTGGTAGTGTCTCTAAAGTGCCAGTACTTGTGTCTGACCTGTTTCATAATGTGCCAAGGAATTTTTTGCCAGGGGCTGGGAGCTTCAGAGGTCACCTCATAGTTGCCTGTGTTAGTTTAGAATTTCAGCAAGGAAGGAGTACTGCAGGATGGGAGTCACTTTTTTCTTCCCTTTTGCGAGAGTTTGTGACTCACTTTCTGTCTTCTGCCTTGGACATCCTTTTTGCAATCTGTGAAGCTTCTGGTTGCAGCCTGTGTCGCAAAACCTCAAGGCAAAGAAGATTAGGAACCACCCTGTTGTGTGCATCTTTCCAGTGAAGTCCATACTATTTAAAGGATTTAATTGACCAAAGCAGCTCAGACCTTTTGGGAGCAGCCCTGATTTCAGCCACCTCCAGTCTGACCTCTGAAATCTGAGTCGGGTTGCTAATCCTGGCTTTATTCATGTTTAGCAAAACAGACCCTTCTAGATTAATTGTTCAGCTGCTCCCAAACATCGCAGGATTGGTGACCAGTTAAATCTCCTGGCTGTTCAGACATGGGGATAAATGGTGTCTGGGCTGCATATGCCCTAATTGGATTGCATTGGCTTCTTACACCCTCAGTCCTGGCCCAGACAAGACCTAAATCCACTTGATTTTGCATCTGGGGAGGGTTGTAGGAACTTTAAATGACAACAGCATAACCAAAATATACAAATCCAAGTAATAAGCCAATTAATTTAGATTGAGCAGTGGGTGCTTGTGGAAGGTGATTAAAAGAGCAGATTGCTTATCTGTTCTGTGCAAGAGGAGCTGGGAACAGAGCTGCTTGGTACATCTTGGTGACCTGGTGGGAGCTGGGAGAGCTCTACCATTGCCAGCTGCAGCTTAAGTCCCTGCTGCAGGGTTAGGTCCAGTGGCTGCCATTGAGGGCTTCCATCCTTGTTTCAGGACTTAGGTGTCTTACTTCATTCATGCAAAAGAGGAGGTGACCTGGGCCTTGAAAGTCTGTCTGAAACAAACACAAGTTGAAGCTGAGGAACCTTAAGTGCAATTTACAAGGGTGTGAGAAAGGGGTACTACTTTCCAGCCTTCCTACCTGTAGGAAACCAGGCACTGTCCCAGGGACTGTGGGTAAATATAATGGTCAAAGGTTTCCTAATGCTTGGCTGCAGCCTGCCGTCTGCTGTGAGCTGGGTCATTAAATCATCCCTTGCAAATGAGCCATACTTGTGAAGAAAAGTCTGTGTGTTGCTCGTTATTTCCCTTCAAGGCACCAACTTGTACCAAATAATAATGTTGCCAGTGCAGCATCTGAACTTGCTGGATGGTGGGTGAACCACTACCATCAAAGCAACAGCTAGAATGTTAAATTATTTCTCTCTAAAGAGTACACAACGTCCTCTTAGAGAGTGCTGGATAAAATGAGTCCTGTAGAGAAACTAGAGTGAACTCCTCTCAAATGCCACAGTTTCAAGTTTGTGCCTGTGTTTTCCCCTTTTCTGCAGGAGAACTTCCAGTCTGTGTATAACTGGCAGTATATCCACTGCCTGTATTTCTGGTGTCGGGTTCTCAGCACGATCTATCCCAGTGAGGTCATGGAGCCGTTGATCTATCCTTTGACACAGGTCATCATTGGCTGTATAAAGTAAGTAGGATTTTTTTTTCTTTTGGCTATATTTCTTTCTCTTGCTTGATGTGTCAGAGCAGTTACTAAAGGGTGTTACTGTACATGGTTTGGATTTCACCTTGCATTGTAAGGAATTGTCTGAAAGCTGCTTTTGACTGAAGTATTGCAGACAAAGATGTGTTGTGAGCGCCTGTATGTTTGGGTGGTGAGAAAATTGTGGTGTGGGTTATTCTTTCCTAGGCTAAATTCTCTATGTAAGAGAAGTTGCAGTCTGAACAGCCTGGACAGATTATCCTTGCAATTGTACAAAGTGGCATGAAAAAGTGTGCTGATTTGCCTCAGGACCTAGCAATGCCAAAGTACAGAATTGAGTCCTCATCTCTAGCTCGGTCATTACTGTTAGAAGATGTGTTTTTTTGTGCATATTTGCAAGAACTTGAACTAGGACACATTTATTGGTTTTATGTCCCTGCTGAGAATTTCGTTCCCTTTTCCCATCAGTTTATATATGAAATTTTTGTGCTTTGAGATATCTGTTAATAATGAGCATCGAGGTTGTTTCTGAATCTCTGGTGATCTCTGAAATCCTGTTAGCTCTGTTAACCAGATTCTCAGCTTTAAAACACCACCCGCCTGGTCTTGAAAAACTCCCGAGTGGTGATGGAGATAAGCAGATTTAAACGATCGATCGTTAGAGTAGGCACACATCCCTCTTCCCATCCCCCATGTGCACAGGCTGCTTCCCACTGCTGTTGCAGAGCTTTAGGTGTCCTGCAGACTAATCTAGGCAGTTTTCTACCTGTCCAGGCAGATAAATTGTCTATCTGGGGCCAAGAAAAAGTGAGTCTTGGCAAGAGCAACAAACAGAGTTTGTTAGCATCTGTGATGGACAGGGCTTCTTGGCGTGAAGTACAGTTACTGTCCGAAAAAGCTTCAGGGATTTGGGAACCCTATACATGGATTCTAGGTTGGGGGAAAACAGAAATAAATCCCACCCTGGCTTCCTTACCGAGCCAAGCTGGTGTCCAGGGTAGGAAAAGGGGGTAGGTAGGTTAGCAGATGTGGGAATGATGTGGCTCCGTGGGCTTTAGTCTATATTCAGGATCCCTGGTGGCTCCTTCCTGAGTGTAGGCAGCCTCCTCTCGGCGTTGGTGGCTGTGCTGTCCAAACTCAGACTAGCGGGAGGCAGTCTCTGTGCCACGTCCCCTGGTGTAAGTACGTCTGTATCAACTGCGTGTAATGGAAGAACTTGGGTTGTTTCTATTTGAGTTGAGAGGATAAAATAATCTAGCCTGCAGGTCAAGGGGTTGTTTTTCTTCTTGTACCATTTTATGAATTTCTGCAAGGCCCATTTAGGGGTGTGTATCTGCGTCGGGGCTGCTTTGTATCTGCTGCCAGCAGACTTTGTGGTGGAGATGGTGTGAATGAGCTGGACCCCTCCCTTTGTTTCTGTGGGCTCCTCAGCTTCCAGAGGTGTGTGGATGTGATCGGGTAGTGGGTCAGGATACTGTGTAATGTTTGGAATACCTTCCTTCATTTCCACTCCTGATGGGGTGGTGTGCTCTGGGAGGAGGCTCCCCTTCCCCGATGGTTTTTGTGCCGGGAGGTGGCGCCTGGCTCCAGCGAAAGGGCAGGGAGCAGGGTGTCTGTCTGTAGGACCGATTGCTGCTCATGCCACCCTGGCCCCTTACGTGAGGGGAATGGGGAGAAACCGCCATCCATCACAGGCTCTCTGCTCTAGGTAGGGACCAGGGCAGAATTTGAAAAGTGATTAAACTAGACAAATAGTGGAAGAGGATTGCCTGCTAAAATCAAAGTTAGATCCCTCATTTTCTTGCTCACTTTTCTTGCTTTCCAGTTTATAAAATGCACTGAAACAATTTTTAATAATACATATTACAGAAATGGACCCCATGAGTGTCTGGAAGTTACCTGTGCTCAAGATGTGGTGCAGGGAGGTTGGACTACTGATGGAATTGATGGTTTCTGACTTTTGTGAAGCTGAGAACAGCCTCATTGCTGAGTTTGCTTATGGAATTGCCATGTAATAATGAGTGATGCTGTTCTTGCAAACAGCTGAAAGGTTGCAGTTAGTTTGACCCATGGGGCAGTGTTGTAGGTATTGCAGAGGTAACAAACGTGGAGGAGGTTACTTCCCCCTTCCTTTCTCTGTGCTTTACCTCCATAGTCCATAAGTTCCTCATTTTGATCGGTGTGCTTGCATTTGTCTGAGTTCGTGGTTGGTTTTTTGCAGCAGAGTTGTTGTAGAAGCTCCTGTTCTATGTTATCCCTTTTCCCCTCATCCATAAAGTGTTTTTCTGAACATGTTTGCTTGTATTTCTACCTTGCTCCAAGTCTAAGCTATAAAAATGAAGTTACTCCCTGGCTTATAGTTAAATGAGGATTTCTGGTGCCTGTTAAATTTTGGTTTCCGGCCTCTTTAGCACGTACAGGGGAGAAAGCAGGTACAGCCTCCACAGAGAAGCAAGCACAGCCTTTGTGTCCCTGAGCAGCTTCCCTGTCCTGGTGAGGTGGAGGCTGATGTTGAAAGAAGCTTTCTCTGTTGTCTCTAGACAGAGGAAGATCGTGATCATCTAGGAGTATAACAGAAGGAGCTGTAGAAAGTGAAAATAAACCTCGTGGAGCCTTTAGGCTGTTTTCCACACCACAGCCTGTGCCCCGGCTGCATAGGAGAAGTACAGCAGGCATTCCAAGAGATAGTGGTGGCAAGACTTTAGAGAGCATTCTCCACTGAGATGCAATGGGAGTCTGTTTGAACCCTGGCTGTGTCCTGCGGTGGCTAGGCAGCTGGACCTTCCTCAGCAGAGCTGGGACCCAGCTGTGTTTTGTATTCCCTGTGCATCCAGCCATTGGGAAGTGGAGCAGATTGTTGCATCGCCATGCACTCTAAAATTAATGTTCTTGGTTTACAGTAAATCTATACACTTAACAGGTTTATTCCTCGATCAATTAATTCCTGAGAACAGCTTTCGTCATCTCCAGTGGTACCAGATCAGGGGTGCAAAGTAGATTTATTTCTATAATGGATCCAATGATAATTATTTCACTATTTGGGGGAGGAGAAGATGCAGGTGATTTATGGTTCCTCGTCAAGCTTTTTTTTCTGCTCTCCTGGATTGCTCAGCAAGCTCTTTGGGGAGGGGAGGGGTTCATTTATCAGACTTGAGCCTGTTGTCTGGGAACTGTGGTTTAAAAAAAAAAAAAATTTCCTTGTTAATGCTGGAGGCATCCATGTCTTCACCTACAGGTCATTCAGCATTGAGAGGTTTCTAGAGCAGTACAGTAATGAGGTCTGGTGTCTTTTAGGCATCGTTCTGCATTCTCCCCTCTGCTGCTGGCTTATGTGGTGCTGGGGGAGCTGACCATTCTCAGTCCCAACCTTACAAAGGGAGTTGGCTCTAATTCTTAATACCTGAGTGCATAATGGTTTGAAGTATGGGTCAAAGAAAGTCTGGCCTCTTCCCCTCCATGCTGATTGCTGGCTGTTCAAATGGACATGTTGCCTCTCTGAAGGAGATAGAAATAGCTCAGATGCTCTTCTGGATTGGAGAGGGCTGAACAAATTTGTGAGAGATCACTCTCATTCCCACTCTCCTTTCTGATATGCTGGTTGTTGCTAGTCTAGCTCCTGCCCCAGCGACATCGACACTAAGAGGGTCACTGTTCAGGTGACGGAGTGAACTCTGGGGGTACATAGCCTGAAATGGAGGGCATCTTCCTCCTTGTAGTCCTCTGGTATGCTGGGGGAGCCCTTTTCTTTGTCAAACTTACTGCTTTAGATGGGCATTTTACTGCTGGCTCCTGCTGCTCTTCCTTGCATACCTACCTGTGCAGAGAGCATGAGAGCTGAAGGTGTTGAACATGACTAAACAGCAGCAGTAGTAAACTTCATCTGCAAAGCTCTTGTCTTGGAGCAAAAGCTGGAAATCTAGTGCTTTGGTTGCAGGAATTTGTGTGTTAGTGTTATAGCTTTAACATGTGTGAATTTTATTTAAAGCTGTGGGGTAGCTTCAGCAGCTCAAACAGTTTGCTGTGCAATACTAAAGCTCTCTTTTGTAGAGTAGGAAAGGCTCTCAGGCATCACTGAACACTGCAGGTGCAGTTCCTGTATAAACCTGGCCTAATACCCTTTCTTCTTTTTTCCTCTCTAGGCTGGTACCAACGACTCGTTTCTACCCTCTGCGCATGCACTGCGTCCGTGCACTTACACTTTTGTCTGAGAACACCAGGACCTTCATCCCAGTGTTGCCATTTATCCTGGAGGTTAGTTTTTTTAGCAATGCCCACTCCCTAATAAACACACTCGCTACACCCACCAACAGCTCCCAACATCACCCTGTTTGCTTACTCCCTAAAATCACTGGCAAACAGCATCAGACAGAATGAGTTGTTTGGTTAGCAAGTAGGATTAAACTTTTATTGGGCTATAAGCAGAGAGTATCTGAGATCAGCTGGGTACAAAAATACATTCCTGGATGGTTTAACTGATGCAGCTGGAGTAGGCAAAGAGTTTCCCAAAGAAGAGATTCAGAGGCTCAACCGGTTGCAGTAACTCCCCAAGGTGTTGTTACTTGATCCTGATGATGTGTTCGTATCTTAGCAAAAGGAGGAGTTTTTCTTAGCTGCAGACAAAGGGAACTGGAAGGAAAAAGCCCTTCAAGAATTAAGAATTTATTAGGGAAAAGATGTCAGTGAACACAACCTGGCAAAATGTGCTATGTTTGGTGAAATACTGGTGCTAAGAGACTATCCAGCTTTTCCACATAGGTCTTTCTAGCCTTTCTGCTGTGAGAAGGTTATACAGAAGCGGTGCTGCCAAATTTCACTGAAGAAGTGTGAGTGAGGCAGGGTGAGGAATGCAGAAGCCCCAGGTCAGCATGAGCTGGACACTGAAGAGGAGGAGGGAGGGAGACTTCTATAATAAATGGCCTGAGTCAGCCAGCTCATTCCTAATCAAGTTCTTTTGAAGCAGAGGCTCTTGTGGTTTTGTGTTGTTGTAAACGTCCTTTACAAACCACATCCTCTGAGCCTGTTGAAGGCAGTGATGTTTATAAATCTCCTCCGGCTCTTCCACCTCCTCTGCTGCTCCCTGGCCTGTGTGGCTTTGCTCTTCGCCTGCTTCCTTCCTCTTGCTCATGCATATTTGAAATTCTGCCGACTAGATCTGGTGATAGAGGCATCTCCACTCGGGGGTAGTGGAGCTTGGGGCAAGGATGATTTTTACTTTTTAGTGCTCTGAGAGATAAGACCTTTTTTCCCCTTGAGACCTCCCCCTGCCTCCTTTGCATTCTAGCCCCAACACCTTGACTGTAATCTGTGTGTCGGGCCCCAGCCAGACGTTACCACACTGCACGCTGAGCTTCCTCCCAGCTTCCACAAGCCCCTGACCACATCCGATCCTGCTGTGTTTGTTTGTGAGGCACTAGGTTTAGCCTGTCCAGGTGTTGGTGACAAGGGAGAGATGGGGGCAGGGTAAATGTGTGCTTGTGCATTGCTTGCGTACACTTTCACATTACTTTAACAATTATTTTTCTTTAACTTCTATAACCCAAGGTGACTGGCATGATGTCAAACTCCTAAATCTCCTTGCAGCTGTCAGCCTTTCCCTCTTCCTGCTTATCTCCTGCAAGGGATCCCTCAGATATTCTGGGGAGTTTCCAAGAGCATTCAGGGCTATTCCCTTTGTACTTCTGTTCCCAAATCCTTCCTCCTCTCTGTTACAGAGGTATCTGAACACTCTTACAACCCTTAGTGCCTCTCTACAATCTGTCTTCAGGCAGATGTATTCCAGCTGTGCAGATGAGATGGTAGGAAGCTTTAGCACATGGAGGGGAAGTGACCAGCCCGAAGTCCCAAGGTGGCTATGGTGGTGCTAGAATGATAATCTGCATTCTGATGCCCAGCCTGGTGCTTTAACTATGGGCCTGTTTCTACCAGCTCATAAATTCAGCAGTGACTTAGTCAATAGACATGAGTCCCATGCCGCCCCATGTTGTGAAACAAAATCCATTTTAATCCCATTATCCAAACCATCATGAGACTGAGGGATCTGATCAGTGTGCTGGTGCTGAGCAGGACTAGACTTGAGGGACATGACTGGGGTTGGGGGAGTGGAATGAAGCCTTCCCAGGATAAGGTATGCTCCGTTTGCCAGGAAGGAGGAAAGGCTGCTCTGTCAATGTTGCAGCTGAATCCAAGTCCAGTAAAAGAATGGCTGGGGACTTTGTGACCCTATGTTTTGTGGGCTTTGTGTGGCATTAGGGTGTAGATTCTGTGAAACTTCTTGTGGAAGAAGTGACTGTAATTCAGTTTCCCTTCCCTTTCTCCAAGGAAACCCAACCCTTGCTATCTCTTGTCTCAGCCCTGTCACTGCTTTATGTTCAAGAGGCAGTTTGTGCAATTCCCACAGGCAAAGGAATTCCCCAAACCCCTGCTGATAGAAGTGAGAGCTGGCTGCTTGATGCATCGTGACAAGGGCTGATGCTCCCCAGCGTGGACATTCAGTGCTGTCTCCTCTCTGACTCTGCTTTCCAGGATGGAGCAAAAGAAGCAGCTTGGGAAAATTATATCTTAGATGGGAGGAGGTGGCTTGGGAGAGAGTGTAAAGTAGGCAGGCTTTTATTTTTGTATTTTTACTCCCCTTGAAGGGCCTGTGTTATCCCAGGCTTTTTTTTTTTCCCATCACTTCAATTATTGTGTGACAGCCACTAGTTTCTGTAGTGGGAAAATTGGTGGCTCATCTGCTGGAAAGGCAGGTGTGGATAAACAAGGGGGAAATCTCACCACAGGCAGACTTTACATGCCAATTTAAAATCAGCTTCCCCTGTGGAGGGATTGGAGGGATGGTAGAGGAGGTTAACCCTGACATGCTTTTCACGAGTTTTTCACTTGGACATTTAAATGGCTTGACTTTCATTTTGGATGTACAGCTTGCTTTGAAGAAAGTCCCCAGGGGCCTGCAGTGCAGCATATATGGGGGTGGGCAGTGGATTGTGTCAGAGGATGTCGGCTGATGTAAAGACTGTAGATGGAAACTTGATAATGCTGGACATTGTCATACATTTAGGCACAGATCTGAAATTAGTTTTCTACAAGATGTGGGCTCTTGTCCTCCTTTACACAGAGAGGAAAAATTGGAACTTTAGACAAAGCTGAACCACTGGACCAGCTGAAGAAATATCTTTCCTTTTCCTCATTCTTCTCCCTCCACCACTATATTGCAGCTCTTAAATTCTGGATCACAACTCTGCAGGTACCAGGGGTTGTTTGAGTGAAATCATGCCTGACCAATTTAATAGACTTCTCCGGTGAGACGATTGGCTCAGCGGATGAGGGGAGAGCAGGGGATGTTGTTTATTTTCTCTTTATCAAGCTTTTGGATACCATCTCCCATAACTTCCTTGCAGACAAGCTGATGAATTGCAGACTAGATAAGCAGACTGTGAGGTGTACTGACAGCTGTCTGAACTGCCAGGCTCATGCTGTGCTCAGTGGCATGAAATCCCACTGGATTCTAGTGGCTACTGATGTACCCCAGGGACCGATACTGGGGCTGATATTGGTTATCACGTTCATGAATGGTTTGAATCGTGGGGCAGAGTTACACCAGCACCAAGCTTGCAGGAGATATGAAGTTGGGAGAAGTTGATACATCAGATAAGTGTCCTGCAGTTCAGAGGGACCTTGACAGTTTGGAGAAACAGGAAGGCAGAAACATCCTCTAGCTCAACAGAGAGAAATGCAACATCCTGCACCTGGGGAAGAGTAACCCCATAATAACGTCCTGGGGGATGACTGTCTGGAAGGCAGCTTTGCAGGAAAGAACATGGACAACAAGTTGACCAAGAGCCAGCAATGTGCACTTGCTGTAAAGCAGGCCAACAGCATGCTGGGCTCCATCCTTGGAGATCCTCAAAAATCGTCTGGACGTGGTGCTGGGGAGCTGGCTCTAGGTGGCCCTGCTTCAGCAGGGCAGGTTGGACAAGATGACCTCCTGAACTTTCTTCCACACTCAACCATTCTGTCAGTAAAGAGGTTGAAGCTAGACTTTTCTTAATGGCACTTAGTGATGAGAGGCAATATGCAGAAAAATAAATACAGGAGGTCTCACTTAAGCATTAAGAAGTAAACAAATCCAAACCGATTGTCTAGGGTGAGACTAGAACAGGTTGCCTAGATAAATAGCTGCATGTCTATCCTTAAAGATACTCAAAATCTGACTGGACATGGCCTTAAGCAGCCTGTTCTAGTTGACCCTGCTTGATGACATCCAGAGGCCCCTTCCAACCGTAACTGTTTTGTGACTGAGTGCTTCAAGCCAGCTTCTGCAGAAAGTTGGGCAGCTTGTCTGAACTTGGCAATAATCAGACTCTGCCACAGTGGCTTAACTAGGCTCTCAGCCCTTCCCTGGGTGAAGTGGGAGGACAACTGACAGACCTGAGGGAAAGCTGCAGGCAGGCCCAGCAAAGCACCTTGTCCTTGCTGTGAGCTGGCCTGGGGCAGCGAGCATCGGGGGGGTGAAAGCAGATGCCAGGAGGCTTTTGCTGGAGCCTGAGAGAAAGAAAGGGGAGGTGGATGGGATGATGCAGTGGGAGTGCTGTGGGTGCAGAGTTGGTTCTCTGGTTTGCACTCTGGCAGCATAAACTGTATATCTGAGCACCTTTCCCACTAGCCACATGGAAATTGTGAGCTTGAGATTGCCAAAAATCCTTCTCCTTCCTGCCTGTGTTGCCTTGTCCTTCCCTCTGTCTGCTAGTGGTTATCGCTTAAGACAAATTGTTGGCTTTTGACATTTTCTGGCCCTCTAGTCCCTCATTATCGCCTTTCCACCCTGCCACAGGATTCCTAGACATCAGTCATCCTCTCCTTCAGTCTGACAGTTAGCTGATCCATTCTGTATATTCTTCCAGAGATGGAAACCACATTTTCCCCCCTTCCCACACTTCCTGCCTTGTGCCCTAGCACCTCTTGGGCGAGTCTCAAAACCTCTGGTTGCATGTCCCCCGCTTGCCTAGTGGCATGTTAGGATCCCACGGAGCCTGATGCCTTTTGCTTTAATGTGTCTGACCTCCGGGATCAATACTACTGTTTTGGCCAAAGAAATAACCGTGCATAACGAGATTTATAGCATTGATTCCCTAGGCTAGGGCTCTTTGTTTTCACAAGCCACCAGGCTTGTCCCTCCCTTCCAAATAACCTGGATTGACAAATAAAATGTAAAAAAAATCAATAGTCGGCTCCATGCTTTTCTGGCTTGGGGGCATCCATGTGACCTGAACACCCTCCCTTTCCTCCTCACCCTCCAGCAGTCGGTGTGCTGCCTCCCCATGTTGCCAGGCTGGTTGGAGTCTGATGGTGAATGTGTTGTTGCTGCATAAAGAGAATAGAAATTATTTCCTGCTTCGAGCATTGGGGACAGAGGGAGGAACTATAGGTTACTTCTGAGGTGCTCAAAAATAGGGATGGGCAGGATATGCTCCTCATCAGCCCTGCTCAGTGGTTGTCATTGGATATGCAAATGATTACCATTTGATGGCTATTTTTTTTTTTAAATGAGATTCCATTGCTAGTGAGCACCTCCCTTGATTGCCACTTGTTATCCCCGTTCTGTTACACCATCTTTCTCCTGAGGTCTGCCTTGCTCGTTTTAGAAACCTTTCACTCCTTCCTGTGTCACAGCTTCAGAGGAGGAGCAGCACAGCGCACAGGCTTCTTGGGATGGTGTACCCTACTGCCCAATGTCTGCCCAGGGCACTAGGGACAAAGATTCTGGCTCTGGCTGATTTCAGCTGAAGATATCTTTCCTGTGTGCCAAATGTAGCCTTTCTGGGGAATGAAGAATGGAAATTCTCATTGATTCATGTTACCCTTCCTCCAGTGAAGTTGGAAAACTCCTAAAAAGGACAGAGTGGGGAAAAGGCTTTCGTAGTTCCTGGTCTTGATTACAGTTTGTTAAGTTTTAAGGGAATAATGCCTCTTCGTAAGTAAAACCAGACTTGGGATGCCACCCTGGAGAGCCAGTGGCACACAAACATGTAAACTTCCTCTCCATTTTCTTCTTTCTACTATATAAGCTTCATACCTTCTGTTTCAGAACTACTCCTCTCCCCGGCCATTATCATTAAACAAGCTCTGGAAAAACACAAAAGGGAAGGTGCAGGTCTGCCTTTTGATGTTTTGTACTAGTTTATGGGGTATCCAGCTGTACCCTAGAGCTCGTGTGTGCTCACCATTTTGATGAGCAGGGTGCGTGGTCTCCTCTCAGACTCTGGCAAGGGGCCGGTTTTTCTCCAGGTACCTTGCTATGAAATGAAATGTGTCTGTGGAGAACAATATGCACTTACTCGAAGGCTGTACAGGTATAACTGGTACAAAGGACACTAATGGGAAGTGTGTTAGAATAGAAACCTTGCGGGGTGTTGGTTGGTGTTTGCTCCCTAGCCGTCCCTTGTAGGGTATTTAAGAAAGATGTGGGACAGTAATCGGAACAGGCAGGCAGGATTTGGGATTTTTTTGTAGTGTGATCATCTTTATGCTTGTTTTTTTTCTGTTGTAGATTTTCCAGCAGGTGGATTTCAACAAGAAGCCAGGACGTATAAGTGCTAAGCCTATAAACTTTGCAGTGATCTTGAAGCTCTCCAATGCCAACCTGCAGGAGAAGGCATTCCGGGTAAGTGGAACCCCAGTGACCAGCAGGGCACAGCTTCTCTGTAAACAACAGTTGCCCTAGCAATGTGCTTTGTGTTCCTGTTCTGTCAGCCTGGAGACTCATTTTACAATTCGGGTGCTCCAGGGTTTAGTTCCTAACTGCTACCTCTATTTCTGCTTCCCCTGCTCAGGATGGACTCATTGAACAGCTCTATGACCTGATGCTTGAGTATCTCCATTGCCAAGCCTACAGCATTGGGTTCCCGGAGTTGGTTCTCCCCACTGTCATTCAGGTAAGGTGTAAGATGCTTCTTGGTTGTGCATGAATGTGTGTGGGGTGGGATAAAGTCATTTAAGCTAACAGTGAACTCAAGATGGTCATCGTACAGTGAGGGGAGAGCTGTTTACCTTTTCTTAATTACAGTTTTTCTTTGTGTTTTGAGGAATTCTTGGGCAGGAACAAAGGCATTGCATCTAATTAGGAGGCTGAAGGTAGGTTAGAGTGGCTGTGGAGTTAGCCAGTCTTTGTGAGCCAAAGTGGAAGAGAGGGCTGCGTGGCTGCTGTAGAGATGTGTTTTTGACTAGTGAATGCACATGAGTTCTTGGTGATTCAGAGCTGTCCGAACTGCTGTGTTGTCTCAGAGCAGTGCCTGTACTTTTCCTTGCCTCACGGCCTCCCTCACTTGCTCTCCACAAGATGGCAATCTTCCCTCCTTTCACAGTGTCTCCATCTACTGGGGCACTTTCTCCCCAAGTCCCTCCGTGCCAAACAGTACAGTTCCTGTCTCCATCCCTCCTCCTTGCTGCACCTAACCAGCAGTGCTGCAAAGTAGTCTCCTTTGCCTCTCCCCGATATTCCACAGTGCAGGGTGTTCTTCTAAGCCACTTTGTGTTTGCATACTTCCTCGTCCGCAATAAAACTGCCTAATAGTGCCGTGCAGCTGGGTGTATTGTGCATAATCCCTCCCTAATACCTTGCTAGCTGGGTGGCTTCAGTCTGGAACCAGCAGTGACCTCTCTGCTTTGAACAGCAAGATTGCTCAGTGCAAACGTGTTGGAACTTGTTCCCTCCCTCCCTTCCTAGTCCTCTCTATTTTTAACTCATGAGTGGCAGGTGTCATACAAGTTTGGCAGAGGGCTGCTGTCGTATCCTCCATGGGGACACGAACTTCTGTTTCGCTTTGGCGCCTGCCGTGAGACCCTGTGTCTGCGTACCTTGTTGCTATGATGCCTCTGGTTGACGTGGGAGCAATGTCTCGGTGGGGACCTACAGGAGGCAAATCTCCTCGTTTCGGCTGTGTGTAATAGGCTGGCATCTGTCAGGCGCATGACTCTTGGCTGGGTCCCCGCAGCCTGGCACAGGCCATCCCCTCGCTGGCAGTGGGCTGCTTTGGCTAATGTGAGCTGACAGGCGCGCTCCGTGCCAGGAGAGCAGCTCCTGTGCTTGCTCTCGCTTTGCGTGCTTCTCACTTATCAGCAGCGAACAAAGCCCTTTCCTCTCAGCCAGCAGCTGTTGAGAGCATCGAAGCTGTCGGAGCCGATGTTCTAGCTGGAATGAAAAACGGCTGACGGCCCTCTGGCACCGAGCACCCTGTGGCTTCCAAACACACCCTGGGACCAGCATTAATGCTATCAGATTCCTATTTGGCTGCCACTAACCACAGCCTCGTGGCGTCTGCTGGGCTGGGGTGCTGAGGTTAGCTTCCCAAAATCTCAGAGTCTTCGGGAAAGTGTGTGTGGGGGGGAGGCTTTTCTCCTGGAATGGTTCCAGTTAACTGTAGAAATCCATCTGTCCTGATTCTTCCTCCCCGATGAGCTCACGCTTCTCTCAGTGCCGTGTCGTAGGGGCTGTGTTCCAGCTGGCAGGGGTTGCGTTCCTCATCTTCTGGTCAGCGGCTTTGGGAGAAGCTACACTGAACTGCCTTCAAACTGAACTTTAAAACCTCCTTGCCTGGAAGGCAGGAAAGACTCGGGCAGATCAAAGGGAAGGAGAGCCGGTTCAAAGGCTCCTGTTCTGCCCAGACACTGGGATGCCCGGTCACTGCCTCCACAGGCTGGTAAGGAGCTCAGAAGGCAGAGCCTGCGTGTCTGGGTGCTTGGAAGAGACTGCCTCTTCCCTCCTCTCCAGCCCTGACGGGCATCACACTCCGCAGGCTGGTAAGGAGCTCAGAAGGCAGAGCCTGCGTGTCTGGGTGCTTGGAAGAGACTGCCTCCTCTTCCCTCCTCTCCAGCCCTGACAGGCATCACAGAGGAGAGCTGGGAGGTTAAAGGGAAAAACTGGGCAGGCATCGATAAGGGGTGGGTCCTGCTGGGTGGAGACAGGAGATGGCATGATCCTCGGCATGACTTCCAGCTCGACAGAAGGGCAGGAGGTGCCAGGTTGCCTTGCCAGCAGCCACTCCTCCTGCTACTCACTCTCTGTCCTGAGCTGAATATTCCCTCTGCTTTATGTGAGTGGGGGATTGGGCTTGATTTGGGTTCCCTGGAACACGCACACCAAGGTGCTTGAGATCATTTATAGTTCTCTGCATCGTTTACAGTAAGAGGAGCTGGGTTTTTGCTGTGGTCTCTGCTGGTATAAACCATGGGTGTTTAAGGCTGGCAGTTCAACAGAATCAATCCCGCTAATTACAGAGCTGCTTAGCTAGGAACATATAGGAGATGTTAAGGACATACATGCACACACACATACATATGTTCTGATTGCTTTTATTCTGGAACGATATAGTGGTTGTATGTTGCAGAGTGGAAAAAGGCATACACAGAGTCCCTTTCTCTCTCCTCTATCATCTTTTGCCTTCTTCGTTGTTCCCTGCCTTTTAACACAGGACTGAGATCTCATTACGTTTTGTTAATATCTGTGTCAGATAGTGATGGGACTGTGAGGGATTGCAGGGGTAGGAGAGGGGAGGGGGAAAAGAAGAAATGAAGCATACGGCTGTGAGAGCGAACACACAACACCCAACTGCACAGATAGAGCCTGAGATTCTGCAGGATTTCTGGTGACACTTCTGCAACGAAAGAAAAATGATAATGTATGTGGCAGCGGATGAAATGGATCTGGGGCTGCAGCTGTGGGGATCAAGTGAGATAAATTGAACGACAAATGCATCTCTCAGTGAAGATAAATATGCAGCACCTATAAAAAAAAATATTTTAGAAAGGAGGGGTGAGGGTAGGACAGGCTGTACCAATGTAAGAATAGTTTTGCTGATGGTTCCTTTGTGCTTATGTGATGGGCTGTTTGCTTTGTGGAAAGGCGGAAAGGTTCATTTTAACTCCCATTTTTCTGAGTTGGATGTACGATGGTGGGTGGGTGTATGTGGGAGATAAAGGGATAAGAGAAGCCCCTGCTGCTACGTAATGGGGGACATTCTCCACAGGTGTAGCAGCCAGCAGATCCTGCAGCAATAAATATACCCATCAGGAGAGCAGTGTCCTGACAGAGAGGGGCTAGTGTGACTGTCACCTCTTGATTAACATTTCATACCTACCCCCTTGGCATGTAAGATCAAGCCAACGTGTAGGCTTGACAGGAGGGAGACATCTTCCTCCTTCCCCCAGCTCTGTCTTTTGAGGCAGAACATTTGAAGCCGTAAGTAGAGAAGGCAGTATTGTATTTGCTGACTAGCAACCCGGTATCTCGATCGTGATAGGATCTGTAGGTCCCAGCTGAGATGAAGGTTCTGTTGTGGTTTAACCATTTTCTTTTGCCTTATTGGATCTCTTTCTCTAAAGCAAGTGTCTGTGTAGCGTGTGTGTATATGTGTATATATATATGGCTCTCACAAAGAGCTTGGCCTGCAGAATTTGGACAGCACTCCAGAGGCTTCTCTTGGGGTTGGTGAAAACTGTTAGCAGACTGTAGTAAACTGGAATTCAAGCCATGAGTCAGTCTGGACACCCCCACCTCTCTTTCTGTCATCAGAAGCATCCACTGCTGCCTTAGCTTTTAGTGTGGAGCTGTCAGAACAGTGCAGTGGAGTTGGAGGGTGGTTTGTATTGCGAGGGGAACTCTGCTTGGGTGGGGAATAAAGAGGTTTGCTTGAGGACAAGGCTACTGAGATAAAAAAAGAAAACGACACAAAAACGTGCCCTGTTTGCAATGAAGTCTCATTGTCTGGGAGTGGTGGAGTGTGTTTTGGGCGCAGAGAGAGAGCAGGAGCACATTCTCTGTGAGCAGGATGGTCCTTGCCCTTTCAGGCAGCAGTAGGGTTTGTGGTTTTGTGGCAGACTGGCTCTTAAGGCCTTGGGTCTAGAAGAAAAAATTATCTGGGCACATGCTGCACAAGTTGTCCACAGAGAGGGTTATTTTGTAATTTTTTTTGTGATGGGGTTGTGCCCTTGAAAACTCAGTGGTGCCAGTTGGAGCTGGGTTGGTACAGTCAGACATTAAGCAAACTTCACCCCGTGTGACTCCGCAGATGGCCATCTGTCCTGACCCACAGCTCTGAGGCTTAGCAGCACCGAGTTTTCCCACCGAGTCATGCCAAAGACAGCCCTTCTCCCAGTCCACAGACCTTCCATCCCAATTGAAATCTCTCAGACTCTGCCTTCAATCCCAGCCATCAGTCTCACGCCACAACCTCTTGTATTGGTTTTCCCGTTCCGGTATCGACTGGTGTTCTACAGTCTTAACCCACAGATGCCTTTGCCCATTCTAATCCTGGCTTCCCTGTGCTTTTGGCCATCTAGCATCCATGGGTATCCACTCTTATTCCTGCTCTCTGTGCATCTGGTCCGCAGTCCCTCTTCCTGTTTGGCTGAGCAGGAGACAGTGATATTGTAACTACAGTGACAGCTGGGAGCTGAGGCCCCAGAGAGCATGGACTTTTTTCCTGCAGGCTGCTTAAACTCCACTGACAGATTTTTTTTCAGGAAGAAGTAGTGTTAAAGGGTGCAAAAAGCTGTTTTTGAGCAAGGCCTCTGCTCTGAATTGCGCATCTGGCCCATCACTGCAACTCTTTGCATCCTCTCAGCCCAGGGTGGCAGGACCTCCAGGGCTGATAGGGGTGATACACTGGAGTATGGGATGAATTGAAGGCAGAAGGCGCCCTGTGCTATCTGTCATCAGGGGTGGGAAATGGTGTTTTTGCTGATGGGATCTGTTTATGGAAACTATTACATTGCTTTCATTCTTCCTCTCCTTTTCCTCCTCCCAGCTAAAATCTTTCTTGAAGGAATGCAAGATTGCCAACTACTGCAAGCCTATCCGGCAGCTCCTGGAGAAACTGCAGGAAAATTCTGCCTACATCGCCAGCAGGCGTCAGAAAGCTACCTTCGGTGTGGCCAGCAGGGAGTCTGTGGTGAGTCTGCTGCTTCAATTTGGGCTTCCTGGAAAGACAGTCAGACTCTGGCTGCTGGGGTTGAGCGGGTGGCAGAGGGAGGAGGGACAACGAGATCATGGAAACGGGAGTGTGTGGGGTGGGGCAGATGTTCACAAACAACTCAACTCCGCAGGGCTCTGGTGCTGTAGCTGGCAAGACTCTGCAGCTAAGAGCCTCATGGAAAACACAGTCCATAAATTATACCCTTCTATTATTTATAACACGCACATATGCAGGGAAGCGCCTTGCTTTGCTGGGGCATCTCCTTTGCCAAGAAGTTTCTTTGTTTTCATCATCCCATTCCTGATGCATATCTGCCAGTTCATGCCTAAAGTGATGGGATTATGCCGCCTCTGTAAGTGTGTTTTTTCCTCCCACTCTGTAGAGACCCGTCTCCAGCAGTGTAGAACCAAGCCATTGGCAGAGTGATATGTGGCAGTTAAGGATCCTGAGGCAAACCTTTCCCCATTCCTCTGGGCCCTTGTGGAGGCAGAGCTATAGAATTAGGAAGGTTATGAGCCTTAAGAACAGTGATCAGGCATCCTGGGCACTGCAGCTGCTTCTCAAGGGAGATGCTGGTATATTCTTCTGTATGCAGCTTGAATGTCAAGCTTGCTGAGAAAATGCTGAGCACATTTGACACCTGGAAGAGTTGCAGTGGCTCTGGGTGGCTCATAGAGCTTGTGGAGCAGTTGAGTTAAACCTCAGGATTCTACCTTAGTGATTAGATGAAGAGGAGTGACTAAGGTGATGATGGAGACCGCCCTCTTACCTTAGGAAATGAACTGTAGCACAGCTAGAAAACAGTATTTTATGGCCGTCTGGCTAACAGGCTGGGAGATGCTGCCTCTCTCCTTGTTTCTCCAGCTCCAGGAGCCTGCCTGTTCTGAGCTGGTTCCTCTGAAGGATGGTGTAGCGTATTGTCAGGACATTCCTTTCAGTGTCCTTGCTTGAAGCTTTTTTCTTTTGCATTGCTCCGTCCTTTTTGGGGACCTGTTGACCTGACCTAAACTCTGAGGTATCTTAAATCTAGGTCCTATGTAAATGAAGCCAAAGGGAAGGAAGCCTTGTTAATGAAGCTTTGTTAGTGTGTCGTTTGGGTTTGATATTTTATCTTTGCTTCTTATCTGGCACAGCACCCTTCGCAAGCCTGATAGCCAGTGAACTGTGTGTGTGTACGCCTCCGTGAGAGGAAGTAGTGGGTCTGACTCTTCCTTGCCTGACAGGAGAGAGGTGAAAACATCTGCGAGGTAATTGAGGTCAGAGAAGTGGCCACATGGTATTATTGGAAACTCTGGATTTCTACATCACTGAAAGCTCTACCTGTTGGCATGGAGCTGGGCATGGAGCAGAAGTTGCAGTGCAGACTAATTTGTCTTCAGACACTAAGGGGTGGGTGCTGCAGGAAAATTAGCCTTTGAAATCCTGACATATCAATGCCAGCACACAGCAGTGCTATTCTGGGATTAAGGGGTTGATGGATCTGAGTTTGAAGTGACTGAGTAGTGTTTGGTTCTGTAAATGCCATTCTGGCTTGGACTGTTTTGCTAAAGGAATTCTGCTTCCCGTCTGGAGTGAAGTGGTTAGGCTTTTGTTGGTTTGTATTTTTTGCGGGCAATGCTGTGACCACCCACCCACTCTGCGGAGGCAGAGTTTTCAGCCTCTAGGGCTCTCCATGAAACAGATGGGCTGGGGAAGGTCGTTGGCTAAATAAAACAGGGTTTCCAACAACTCTGCCACTGTCTGCTTTTCCCAGCAGTTCTGGCTGTGGTCCCTTGGGTAAGAGCTAAATGATTATTTTAACATCTCGCTGCCTGGGTGTCTCCTAGTTGACATTGGTGCACCTGCTTTCCCATGGACATCTGGGTGGCTGAGCAGCAGTAAGGGGCAGGGTTGGCTCTGGAGGGGCAGCGACAGGCAGCCTGCCTTGAGTAAGGGCGGTTGGTTAAGGGGAGCAGGCAGCAGCCTGCCGAGCCTGGTTGGAGACGCTGTTCTGCCATTTAAGGGGATAGAGCACAGCGTAAAGTGCTGCTCGGGAAGGATGCCTGCATTGCCTGTGCAATCCCTATTTTTGCACTGTGGTGTCCTATGGGACAAGGGAGCCTTTCTCTCCCTTTGCTTGGTGGTGAATCAGTGCTCCTGGGAGCAGACAAAAAGCAGCCCACACAGTGCTTTGGTGGGGTGGAAGAGCCGTAGCAGCTGATCCTTTGTTGCCCGGAGGGCAGGTTTTGTTCCCCGGTGGCCCTGTGCTTTCCCCCTGCTCCTTTGCAGGCAGATGGTGTAGATTGCCAAGAAGGGCCGAAGCTCCCGCAGAGACTGGACTTCCCAGATCTGTTTGGAGCATCCCTCGAAGCCTGGGTTGAGTTTCCCAGGCTGTCTCCCAGATACGTGGGACATTGCACTTCTTGTGAGTAAATGTTTCCAGAAAAGGGAAGGAGAGGGGTGAGGGGAGGTATTTGCATATCCCCCTTGCCAGCAAGAGCAATTGAAAGCAAATGCTCTCTGGTATTCACATCCATGCATTTGTGCCTGCTCCACTCTTGGGAGCCCAAATTCTGAGCTAATTCGTCCATGCAGCATGCTGAAGTGTGGCTTTCACAGGGGGATTACAGAGAAATAGGTTTAAATGAGGGAAATAAAGGTGGTGAATGTGATTGGATTTGCACTCCTGAGTAGTGGGTGTGCTTCAGAAAGCTGGATTTTACCCAAGGGTCTATATTTAATTTTAAAGAAGAAATGGCCTGGGGATTGAATTTAGTGCTGCGGGGGGAGCATGGTGGTGCAATGTTTAACTTAACGTGGAGGGACCTTAGAAGGATCCCTCCTTGCATCCCAGGAACTGTAGTTGGTGGGATGGGCACAGCAGATGTGTTCAGCCTGACTTCTTCCACATTGTTTTAAGACTGAGAACTTTACTTTTTTTTTTTTGTAAGAAGCAGGTTAATATTTGAGAGTCAGTGGTTTTTTGAGAGCACAAAGCTCATAGGTTGCTGTACTAACTAAGGTCTTTGTGAGGGGAGCCGAAAAAAGTGGAGTCTGCAGGTGAAGTTGAATCCAGATGGATAACGTGCAGCTCTCATTTTAGGTTTGTCTGCACTAGTGTGGGTCCTGGACTGGCAGAGGAGAATGCAGAGAAGGAAGAGAGTGCACCAGGACCCATAGCGTGTGCTGGGCTGCGTTACTGGGAGTTCTGTGGCTCCCAGGCAGACCTTTGTGCTGACCTGGGGAACCTTTGTTTAAGAACAGTGCAGCCCAGCGGGCTGTTTAATGCAGTGTGAGGTGGGGGAATGAGCTGATGGAAAGCATTGCCTCATTTCCGTGGGATTTCCAGATCTTCTGCATTCATCCCCATCTCACATTTCAGATGAGAGGTTTTTCTGGAGGGTGGGTAATCTTTGTTCCATTTGTACAGGTACTAGCACTGGGGGCTTGATCCATGCTGGGTGTTCCCGACAGCACAGTGATGCAGAAGCAGTAATAGAAGGAGGATTGCAAATGGTTAAAGTGCGTGTGATGGCATCCACTCTCTCAAAATTCCTGTTGAGGTGTTCTAACTAGAAAGATGGGAGTGTTTTAGTGGTCTTTTTTTATCTTTGTATTCCAGCACACTTTAAAACACAAAGAGCTGTATCAGACAGAACAAACACAGTTTTGCCCTCTGTAAGAGGAGTCTTTCTCAGAAGCTGTCCATACCAGGCAGCGTCAACAAATTTCCTGATGACAGCTGGCAGCCTGATATGAGCCTGATCTATAAATGGGGTGACTTTGTACTCCTCGGGAATTACTCCTCTTGCCACAGCGGTGGGTCAGATCGACAGTAAAGCCGTGCTGTCTGCTGGCTGGCGTCGCCGCTAGCGAGAGCTGCTGGAGTCGGCGGAACATCAGCTGTGCTCTCAGCCAGCCTGCCGGGGAGGAGACCGGAGAGCAGACGCAGGCTCCAGCCGTGCAGACCTGGAGCCGTGTTGCAAACAGTCCCGTGGGGATTGTGAGTCTGGGACCCGCGATTACCAGAAAGGGTCTGTTTGGCTTGCTGCAGTATTGATAGCGCCTGCTGGAGGATGGATGCATAAATAGATTCTGCGCCATTAGAGTGCAGGTGACACAAGCTGGTTGCCATTTAATTGCCGAAGTTCAACTCCCGGTGCCAGCTGCAGAGACCAGAGATCGTCTCCCATTCCTTCCCAGTGATGGGCCAATTAGGAGCTGGCGTAGACTGATGTATTTCACTTTAGAGTGTACACTGAGTACTTGTTTGTGTGAGCTGGGAGCTCGGCGCTGCTATCTGTTGCAGAGACCTGCTCTTTCTGTCTTCTCGTTCATGTGCTGCTCTTCAAACAAACTTTTCCCCACACCTTGTCTCACACCTTCAGCCAGCACACCATGGCTCTCTAGTTTTGAGGCTCAGCTCCCCAGAAGCAGTTGATTTGGGATCCGCTGAAGAATATTTGAGCTGTTGCTGTGTTTTTTGCAATGAAGATAGTCTGGCCTCTTGTTCCCACCCTCAAACAGCAGCATTGTGTACGCACAGCTGCCCGTACAGAGCTCTGGATTTGTTCTCAGCCCTGGTTCAGGATACTCTTGTTGGAGCTGTGTTGACCTTTGAGTGTGTCTATGCTAACCTTTGTTTCTGTTGCTCATTCCCTTCCTCCTCTGCCTGTTTCAATTCCTTCTTGTATGTCATGTCTTTCTGCTTCCATTAGATTGACTTTTTACTGTGGGGTAATGCAAAGCCTCTGGTAATCTGGTTAACAGGTACAGTGCTGTGTGGGTTTTAAGTTAAAGGGATGTTGGCAGGTTAAGAAGAATGTATTTGAGTATGACATACTACCACCCCCCTTTCAGCACTAGCATGCCAAGTGATTGAAGCGTAAAAGAATTTTTAACCATCTAATTTGCTTCCCACCATTTACGGTGTTTGCACCTCCTTATTCTCCCCGCTTGGACAGCGGAAACAGGCACAGCACTTCTTCATGCTCTGCTCTCTCAAGGTTGGGATGAGTCCAAGACCCTGCAGGGGAATGTTTGTTTCAAAAATAAGCATTTGGCTGTAGAACAGGGGGAAGAGGCAATCAGACATCTTTGGTCCTTAGGTCTTGTAAATGCTTGAATGAGGTTTTTCTGAATTAAAAAGCAAGAACTGAGTAGGTGATCAAATGCCTCCACTGAAGGAGCAGGGGACAAATCTTGTCCTGATAGATCTTCTGATCTGTCCCTTTGATTCCTACCTTCAGGTTTCAGTTGAAGTAATTTCTTTTTCATTACAATGGGCTGCGTAATCTGACTTGACTTCTATGTCAGTGTCTTCTCACTAGATCTAGAGATAGTAATAGTGGATCCCAGAAGGCATTGAGCTGATTTTAGGAGAGCCTATTGCGAGTTCTCAGCAATTCTGAGAATCAGGCCTCTTCTAGAAGGGAGTCATAGGAATCTAGGAACCCACATTCCAGGCCACCATGCTGAGAAAATTTGGTGATCTTCCATAAGCTAAAGTATCTTATGCGCCACCGTATAGATGCTCCCTTATGAGGATCTTATGGTGGCCTTCAGCTGTGTCTCCACCAGGACTGCACACATGTGCCGTTGGTATCCAGTGCTTTGACATTGCATGAGTAAACTGTTGCCTTGGCCAAGCTGTCCATTTCATCTTCTGGCTTTCTTGTTCTCCCTGCAGTGCCCAGGCATTGCTTTGCCTAAGGAGAGCCGTCAGTCACACCACTCCTGACTCAGTAGTTGCTTCAATGGCTGTGCCTGGATTTGCACTCAGTCCTGCGTGCATTCTTAGACACGGTTGCCAATTTCCTGCCCAGAAGCTGGGAAAAGGCATTTTTGGGAAAGGGTCTTACCCTCTGCTCTTGACCCCCTGCATTTACCAAGGTTGTGTTGGAAAAATGCTTTGAAAACCTTTCTTAAATTTGCACCCCCTCTCTCCACAGGAGCAGTGGGAGAAGCAGGTCAAAGAGGAGGGGACACCGCTGACCAAGTATTACGCTCAGTGGAAGAAGCTAAGAGAGAAGGAGATACAACTGGAAATCAGCGGCAAAGAAAGAGTAAGAATGAAACTCCCATCTTACTGGATGTGGGAAGACAAGAGAGCCCTGTCCTGGCAGCAGGATGGTGGCTGACCAAAACCAGCTGGTGTGAGCTGACATTGGCTTGAGCTGTGAGTGTGTAGGCTGGGAATTGTTGGAAAGAGCACGCGTGTGGCTGGATGGCAGCTTAGCTGGTGTCTTCAGCTCCCTGTGGATTTATCTTGCTGGGATCTCTAGGAGCAACATCTGTGTTCCCTGCCTGTAGCCTGGCGAGGGGAAGATGCCTCACTTCCTAGCAAAGAGAATATCAGAGATGAGTTTTGTTTTGCATTTTCTTATTTCACCCACGTGGGGGTGGCTGGTTGTGAGGTGGGACTTGCTGTCTGGACAGAAGTGCTCAGGCTGCCGTTTCCCACATCTCCTCCCCAAGGGAAGGCTCCTTGGCCGCTCCTCGTGGCACTGTGCTCCGGGATGCCGAAAGTGGGGGTTGGAGCTCGCTTACATTAGGAGTCTAAAGGAAAGCTGTCTCGATGCTAATGCAATGAAAGTGGCTGAGCTAGGCTCTTGGCCAGGGAGCAGGAAATAGATATAATTGGTGTCTCCAGCGTATGGTGGGGAACAATTAAAATAATCGATGGGACGTGAGGATGATTGGCGCTGAGCCTCGTAGAAGACCTGGGAGATCCTAGAAATGCTCAGTATTGTGTACCAGCCTGAGATAAGGACAGGAGGCTGAAATTCCCTGGAGCAGCCATGCAGAGGGAACAAAAAGCACGCTCGTTTTCTGTGCAAACCTGTCAGGAGAATGCGGCCTTTGCAGAAAGGAATTTGGTGTGGGGGGGGAGCTAAGAAACAGCAAGAAGTGATGTCTGTGAGTGGGGCTAATGTCTTGCCCAAAACTGGCCCTGCTGTTGTGAGCTGACACTTTCCTGGTGCTGAAGCAGTTATTACAAGGGGAGAGATCAGCCCTCAGTGTGGACAAGCCCCCATCTCAAGGGGAGCTGGAGCTCCTTGGGGTGGCCTGGACCAGCTGAGGTGGAGGGCTCCCCTTAAGGGTGGTGGCTTTCCCATAGCACGGCTCAAAAGGTGACTCTGAAACCAGGGGAAGGCTGAGGGGCAGTGGCAGGGACTTTTTTTTTTCTCTTGCAGAAAGTGGGCTGAACAGATGAACTGTAGAGAGAAGCAGATTTTGGAGCTAGCTTTTGGAAAGGCCTGTGGCTGCCTGACATCTTTGCTTGGTGAATGGGGCTGTTGTCTCTCTCAGTGGGGACCGCGAGCTTAATGATGCAGCATTGTGAGCCCCAGCAGGAGAGTGAACACCATGAGGCCCATTAGGGCTGGGAAAATCCATGTCCCATTAGCAGCCATTGGGGGGAAAAAAATAATAACAGAAAAAAAATCAGCCCAGCTCTCAGCTGCTGTGAGCTGCAGCTTGCCTTATATAACAGCCCTGACCCTCTCTGCCCATCCCATTTGCTTTTCCCAATGGTTTTTAATGGGATGTAGACTAATCTGCTTTGTGAGACGCAGTAGCTAGTAACCCTTTAGCTGGGGATTAAAAGACTGGCCCCCAAATTACCTAATTACTGCTCCTCTGTGATGAACGCAGGCCGTATCTGTGAGCTGTGGCTCAGTACCAGTCTCATTCCTTTGCTTTGTGATCACTCTGTGGCTAGTGGGGCTTTCTGGTGTCTTTATTCTGGGGTCCCCATCTTGAAGGCGCTCCTGTGGAGTCTCAGAAAGCTGGAGGTGGCACCACTCAGCATCATTCAATACCAGGCCCTTTTTAACATGCTCAGGTTGAGTTCAGCCATTACTAATGTCACCCAAACCTGTAGGCTGCCTTTGGAAATGGGGACTTTTCCTAGGAAGCATGAAAATACAAAGAAGTCCCAACTAACAGCCTGTGCTCCCTGCTGTACATGCCCTGCACAAGATACTGGAGACATTTTTCTGAACAGATGAGAGCAGTGACGCATGAACCTGTCTTGTCCACTGGAATTGGGAGGGGCTAAGGGAAGCCTTTTCCCTGTAGCAGCTCCCCTGCCCCACAACGGAGCTTCCTGGAGAGAGGATGGCCCCAGTGTGTCATTAGGTCAGCTGAGGGCAGCCGTTTGGCAGTGCCTCTGGATTGCTGCTCCTGCTGTGTTCCGCTTCCCAAGTCTGTTCTCTGGTTGTTTGGAAAGCCAGGCATGTGCTGCTTTCTCTGTGCATTTTCCCAGCACAGATACAGCCCAGCAGGTCTCTGCAGGGCTGGTGGAAGGAGACGCATCTCATAGTGAAAAAAAGAAGGTGGGAAGATGATTTAAAATCAGGACCCTAAAAATGGTGATTGGTGATTTGCTCCTCTCTCCACTTCTCTGGCCAGCTTCTGACTTCCCATCCTGGTGCTGCAGGTTATTGCTTGTAAGTGCTCACCTTCCAGAATCAGTATTGGCCAGCTGGGGACCATAACCATGAAACAGGCTGAGAGAAATCGCTGGAACTGGCTGCAGGAGCAAATGCATGTCTCAGTGTCTCTCATCTCTCCCCCATCCCATTCTTTCATTCTTTCTCTCTTTCTGCTGAGAGCTGCCTTTCTGTAGAGACTGTGCTTTGCTGCTGGGGGAAGCTCCTGGGAGGGTTGAAGTGGATGTAGTCAGAGAGGAGTGTGGTGAGGGGTGGTCTGACAGGTGGGAGAGAGCAAATGAGTTATTACTCGCAGGGCGAATGTTTCCAAGCAAGCTAATGTGTGCTAATGCATGAGTGCTTCCCAGGAGGGGCGCAGCCAGGCACGGGCAGCGGGCAGCTGATGTTCAGAGAGCACTTGGGATGTAATTTGCATTCTGATTATCTTTGCCCTGCTGGCCTGAGCCCTTGCAAGTAAATCCTCCCCCAAATCCCCCTCTGGAGAGGTGTAAAGAGCAGTGAGGTGGTGTCAATTGCAAGTACTTAATGGCATTGATATTGGCTGTCTGCAAGAGCAAGGCTCTTGGCCCATTGATCTCCATGAGGGCTTGCAACCAGGGAAACTGGCACGTGGACCTTAAGCATCTTCAGCACCTTGCCATTTAACTGTGCTGAAATCTGCAGCCAAAAAGACAGTGCCTTTGCTAGAGCTGTCACTGGAAAACTGCTGCTTCAGAGATGACCAGCACAGTCTGGCGTGATTGTGGCTTTCAGTCCAGAGATCCAGGACCGCCAGCTCATCGTGGATCTCTTGCATTTGTATCCATGCTAAGGGACCAGTGGTAGATGGGCCCATTAGCAAAAGTAGTTGATTAGGTGAAGATCAATAGAGCAGTGGTGCTTTGCATGGGTCTGACTCACAGATCTCTCTGTTGCTCCTCTGGTTGGCAGCAGGGAGACCCAATTGTTTCTGGCAGCGTGGCTTACGCACACTGGGCAAAGCCAAGTTCCTGTGTTTAAGCTCAGCATTTTATGTTTAAAAGTACAAATTAAGGTTGTTCCTACTGTTGATTTTTGGTTTTTTCCAGCTTGAAGACTTGAACTTCCCAGAAATTAAGCGTAAGAAGCAAGATGAAAACAAGGAGGAAGATAAGAAGGAGTTCAAGGACCTCTTTGACCTGGACAGTGACTCTGATGAGGAGAACGTTGGATTCTCTGTGAAAGGTATGGGACTGGGGCTGGGCATACCTTCTCCTTGTCCAGAATTTGGTATGATGGGGGTCAACAGGGCCTTGCCCTAAGGGGGATGCATGCTGACCATGTTCAAAAGATGTACTCTTAGGGAGAAAGAGCAGATGATGCCTTTTGGAGGCTTTTTAAAGTGACAGACAGAAGGTGGTTGGGAGGCTTTTATCTTTCCCTCTCCTACTTTGTCAGTCCAGCTTATTTTAAAACCTAGTCCTGCATTAGTCTTTTTCTGTACACCACCCATACTCTCTCCTCCTCTTAGCACCTTTATTTTGTCACAGACACTGACCTCAACATGATAGCCCAAGAGCCAGGGGGTGTTTGGCTGAACACAGACCCTGCATTCAAAGGCTTCCAAGTGGCAGCCGTGGTTCTTATGGTAACTCCCAAAGAGCGAGTTCCCCTTCTGTGCTTATAACCTGTGCAGGTTCTGGCTTGGAGTCTCACCTTGGAGAACACAAAAGTGTTTGCTGTCTATTTGCACCGTGAGTGGAGGGGTAGAAAATGATGGTTTTTTCCCACACCTATAAAAGAGGAGTAAGAATGTTCTTCTGCCTGACAGCATGCTGGATCTTTGCTGTGTGTGTCATTGCCAACCATAGCTGTCACAGGGCCTGGCTACCAGAACAAGGATCTTTGATGGAAGAACAGTTATCCTCTCTTTGCGTACACTTCTGATTTATTTATTTTATAGTGACTGACTTTGCAATTTTCTTGACAAGCCAAGAAAGTCTAGAGCCTCTAGAGAAGATGGAGTGGTGTCACTCTCTGGCTGTGACCACGAGAGGGCCACAGTAAATTGTGGAACCTGCCTGAGAAGTTCACCACATAGTTTGAGGATGGTCTTTTTGTAATTTGGGATGTTTGGGATATCCCAGGTTTTCTAAATGCATTGTCATTCATATAGCAGGGCGACTTGAAGGAATTCAGAGTTTTCTTGTTTAGAGATTTAATCTAGGGATCAAGTCCTCGCCTGTCGTGCACATTGTAGGGCATGAGGATAAATCTTGAGACTTATCACAGAACCAGTGAGCAGTGTCTCCCTCACGGGCATCTGTGACACAGGAGGAAGAGAAGGTTGGGAAACTCTTGTCTGATAGCTTAAGGGTGAAGTCAGTGGATTTTTGTAGGTGACCTGGCAAAGAATGGGAGGAGAGCAAAAGTGAGCACATGATCCAAAAGGGTACTGAGAGATCAGTGTGACATTAAAAATGATTTGCGGAGATCTGGGGTTGTCTCCCCTGCTGTGTGAGGCAGTGCCTCAGAAGAATCCCAGCAGCTCTGGAAAGGCAGTGATAACCCGTTCAGAGGGCAGGCTGCTGGGGAGGAGTGGGCCCTGCTCAGTAAGTCAACATGAAAAATTCTGGGGTAATAATTGAGGGAGAGATGTCTTGACCCAGCTGGTGTAGAGTTTGAGGTAGGGATTTGAGTTCTCGTGTCCAGGGTCCCAGTGCAGGGGTCCTGGGTGGTGCCTGCTGGCTGGTTCTGGTTGCTTTGGTTGGTCTGCACCTGGCTGTGGTGCAGCCACACCAGGGAATAAATTGCAAGCCGTGTATTGATGCACGCAGAAGATAACGGCTGCACAGGAAAAGGAAGGAGAGTGATGAATTTGCAATTGTTTTTTGATCTTGTGGATCTGAGGGGAGATTCCCCCTACCTTGTGCAGGTGGAGCTGAAAGCTGCCAGCTCATTTCAGCAGGGTTGCACACCCCCAGCGTCCTCCCCAAGGGCAGGAAGGATGGTGAGAGCAAACAGCTCCATCCGATCAAGAGAAGCTGCCCTCTGGAATGGAGAAAGCATTCGGCAGGCAGGACAGACTCCCGTGCTTGGGTCTCTGCAAGGTCTGAAGAGGGGAGAGAAACAAGTTTTTGAATGCCTGAGCAGGTGAGGGCAGAAGGAGCCAGGAGATGGGGAGGAAGGAGCGTGGATTTGATCAATCTGTGTGTTGCTGGTGGGGGTGGGGAAGTTTGCGTGTTTCTCTCATTCGCCAGCTGACAGATCTCTGGGAGGAAAGGCGGCTGCTCCTGGAAATTATTAATGACTTCAGAAGAGGTGCTGGACTGCCTCGTCATGAGGCAATTAAAGGCGAGAAGGGAGCGCGGCTGCGGCGTCTCTGCGGGCCTGGCTGTAATGAGTGATCTGTCCGCGTTAGGTGTTGGTGTGCCTCTAATGAACTTGAGCAGGTTTCTGCATTTATTCCTCACGTAATCATATTACGTCAATTTAATGCCAGACTGGTGGGGGCCAGGGAGTGTAGAAGGAGAGGTCAGACATTTTCATTTCCAGCAGAATAATCCTGGCCCTTCTCAGAGATAAAATTCCTGCTATAGGCTGTCAGCTTGAGGATCCAGAGGTGGAGTGGGGCGGAAGAGAGGAGAAGCACTGGTTAACCGGAGCACCCTTAGCATTGTTTTCTGGAGTCTTGCTGATGTGCTTCTGCCTCAGGAGATGGACGCTTGAGTTTTATAAATTGTAAATTGGTGGAAGGGCAAGCAGAGGCTTAGGGGAGAGGAGCAGGAGGCTGGAGAAGGTCAGTAAATTCCTCTTGATGGCCTGCTGCCTGTGTCATAGCATGTGGGAATGACCGAGGGCTCAATGCCCTCTGCCCACAGCTGGTTTCTCTGCACACTTAAATGAGCTGGTCGCTGGATCTATTGGTGCTTTTGCTTGTGCTGCGTGATGGATGAGAGCGTGCCCCTCTGGGTTGTTGCCCGAGCTGCTCAGGTGCCCATCAGGGTGATGTGCTGGTGAACGGTGCTGCAATCCATCTCCCGGGGAGCGGGTGCTCTCCGCATGGCTGCGGGCGCCCGAGAGAGCTCCGTCCACGAGATGTAGCTTCTGATCCCTCGGGGGGCCGTTGCACGGAGGCTGCGTGCTGGCAGGGCTGACAGATGGGTGAAAGCCGAGCGAGCAGGGTGATGACGGGGAGCGGGGACACTCGCAGCTTATTAATGGCTCTGTCTCCAGCTCAGTAACATAGGTTCAGTACTGAGGAGGGAGGATGGGGCAAAAAATAGATGCCCTGGTGGGGCCCAAGAATCGCAGTGGGAGAAGGATGTGGAGCCAGTTTCCAAGCAGAGGTCCCGGTGTGTGAATAAACAGCTTCTTCAGCAGCTTTTTAAGCAAAGGCAGGCAGCCTGCAGCACTGAGCTGGGCTTAGCTCAGGGGTGGTGGCTGGAAGGGGGCAAGAAGCAGCTGGTTCATCTGCTCCCTCTGTACAGAATTTGTATTCTGTCCTTCAAATGTCTGGTGACTCATGCTGTCTGGAGAAGGGAGAATGGGAGATGCACTCTTCCGCTGAAGAAAACTCAACAAGTAAAAGAAGCCCGGTTCCAGAGGCTCAGAGGCAGATGATTTTCCCACAGAGACTCTTAATACTTCCTCTCCAGCTCCCTTGGACCTGGTTAGCCATATGCAGAGGGGATTTGCAGCAAGGGCTGTTCCTAGACCTGTCTGGTGTGGCTTAGAGAGGGAATAAAGCCAAGAGAGGTTTACAAGGATGCCCTGAACCAGAGAGCCTGTCCTTGTTTTCAGTTAGATGGAGCCATGGAGGGTGGAGGTGGCTATACACAGGCACTGTTTCTCAGTGGAACCACCCCTTCTCTGGCCTCAGCTTTGTGACTTATTCCTTCTCCTTTCCCATGTTCAGGAGGCCCATTCCTTCTTATTGTGCTCTTTTGTCCATCTTCCTCTCCTAGCTCTCATGGCTCTGTGAGCAGGGCAGACTGGTGTTTTCACCATGGACACCTGGGTGCTGCGCCAGTGCTGCTCCATAAATACCAGGTAGCAGCAAATCCTGGGCTTTAGCAGTAAAACCCTGCTACGGGCTTCGAGGTGATCTGACTGTCTGCATCCTGGCCTTCCTGCCCTCTGGCAGGTGCCTCTGAAGTGAAATGCATCCTCCTCTGGGCCTGCAGTGCAAGGGGACACGGCTTTTGGAGAAATACAGTAAATTTCCCCTGTAGTGTGTGTGTGACTGTGCTCCTGAGGATGACTGTTGGGACGATGGAACTTCCCCCTCTGTGTATACTTCCTGTGGGGATGTTTGGGTGCTGCTCTTTATGTTGCCATTTACATGATAAAAATACTTGCAGGTAAAGCCAAAGCCAAGCAAGCATCAGACGACAGCTCAGAAGCAAGCAGCAGTGACTATGGCGAGGATGACGATGAAGAAGAAGGAAAGTATGAAATTGAGGAGGATGAGGAAGAATTGGAAGAAGGCAGTGACTCAGAGGGTAAGTAGTGCAGTTGGGCAGAGGGGAAGGGGATTATTGACAGCGCTGAGAACTGAAGGCTCCTTTGCATTCTGGGGCCTCCCCTACGAAGGAACCATCTCCTCTTTTCTTGCTGTGCTGCTGTTCTGAGCTGCAGGCTGTCAGGAGGGACTTTTACATGCAGACACCCCCCCAGACAGGGAGAGCAGGCAGTTCTGAATTTATACTGAGAGCAGAAGGGTTAAGGGCTTTGCGGGCCTTTCTCTAACAAGCCACCAGTCCCTTTCATCTCTTTTCAGGGACCTCCTGCAGAGAGGCTCAAACAAACTCTTGAAGTAAAGCCCACGCCAGCAGAGTACAGAAACCCTGCTTCAAGGCTCTCCGCAGGTTGCATGGGGGTGTGGAGGGTGCACTTCACTTTTATCTGAGCAGTGCCTGGGGTACCGGGTGCTGCGCAGCGGTAACCCTTTAGTTGCTGCTTCTCAGCAGCCCCTCCCAGGATAGGACTGGTAGGAGATCTTGTCCAAGTCCTGCATCCAGCTGGGGTTTCTGCGCTGAAGCAGTGGTGTTTGCCAGCATGGACAGACCCTGTTCGGTGCTTGGTTCCAATCCCTTCTGCCAGTGAGTAGCTGCTGTCCAGAGACAGAATTGGTGAGAGTGGTGGGCATCAGCGGGAGAGCCTACCCGTTCCGCCTGCTCCTAGCAGGCCAGAAGAACAGCTGTCTGCATGGCTGCTGAGAGAGCTGCCAGCCGTGTCCCCAGGGCTGTGCTAGACCCCAAGCCAGGCTTTGTTGCAGCTGAGGCGAGGGCATCTTCCCTTCCATCCCTTGTGCAGAGCCACAGCCAGCCAAGAGCCTGCTCAGCACCCCAGCAGTGCCGCTAACCACATTGGGCTCAGTCCTGCCCGTGTCTGCCGGGCCTGCCGGGGGCTCTGGCTGCTGTGCTGGTCCTTTCCTGGTTTCTCTGTGCTGCTTGCTTAGGCCTTTGTACTGGAGGGCCAGGCCTCTGCTCCTCCGCGTGCCACTGGGTGTGATGTGTGGCTGTGGGGAACGGCCACAAAAGCTCCAGTGTGCAGGCTGTCTTCACTGGTCTGGGGAGCAG